CTTGTTCCAATGTACTGCACAAGTGCACATAATTGTTACCCTAGTCACTACCCTAGTCTGGAACACAGTTTTCAAGCGTGCTAATCGCGTCTCAGCACCTCCCAGCCCCTCCCATATGCGAGTATGTTGGGAGCGGAAATATGCCATGTATGGGAGGTACTGGGGCGCGATTTGCACGCTTGAAAACTGTTCCAGCCTCAGCCGATGCTGAGGTATTATGGTGTGGTCACATGCCAGACCTCGACATAGCACATGACACGCAGGCGCGTAATGAACGTCAAATTCAATTAAATTTTGACGGCCACACTGTAATAGTTTGTGCGTGAGTTATTGCATGTATGACTGTTGTGTCACTTATCTATGCTTTCTTATACCTATTTATGTTTTCATGTGTGCTGCGAGGGGTGTGGTGATTCGCCACCACATCCGCTATGATTTTATTTATAATAGTCAAAAGTAGGTAGATGCGCACTTAGTTGACATGCTATTTAGATGGAGAGATATTTGCTTGCTTTTCGCCTTCTCAAGAAATGTTAACGTTGTGTTTGTTACTGTGTGCACAATACATGAGGCGATAGTCTCCCTTCACTTTGAATCTGGATCCTTCTGCGTCAGTAGCGGCAGAACACCACTCACCAGTAATTAAGGGGGGGGGGGGCACTGCCGACTTTTGATCCCATTCTTTCCATGCGACGCCCATAGGGCTAATGTTAAAATGCCGAAATCAAAGGGGGGCACGGTGCCCCGGTGCCCTCCCCGTTCCGTCGCCTGTGTTCTGCGTTCACCTGTGGTGACCACAATACGGCTGTGGCTGTCAGTCACACTGCTGTGGCTGTCAGTCACAGTGTTGTGCCAGTCTGTCACAGTGCTGGGGCTGTCAGTCACACTGCTGTGCCAGTCTGTCACACTGCTGCCACTGGTCGGGATCACGCCAAGACGGAACCAGTGTCGGATCGCCTCAGGATAGATGAGCCATATCTCGGATAAAAGCATAGTTCGGGGGAGAGCATCTTGATATGATTTGCTATTCCGATAAATTACGGGATATGTCCCTTGACCAATTATGAATATCAACTGTTTATATTGTCGTTGATGAAATACCAGATCATAATTGGACGGATCGCTCCAATATTACCACAAATCAGTCAGCCTCAACAGCACGCGTTTTTCTCGTAGCGTGTACCAGGGTGTGGGCTTTTCTATTCTTACCTCGGTACCAATGATATCTGCAATGTGGGAGATGAGGTAGAATTCATGGACGCAGCCAATGAAACATAAGATTCGACATTGAACATATTCCATGCAGACTGTCGATTTTGGAATGGTGCCATCGTTGGTAAAACACAATTGTATTTCATGTGTACAGAGAACTGGGGCGGAAATATCAAGTTTAAGGGATCAAGGTGTTAGAGCAAATGTGTGTCGTTTAGGTACATTTACACATCGGGCCGTTGGGATGGGAGGCCTCCTACGGGCTACTTTATCGTCATGCCGTCTTCTCGTCTCATTCAAATGCTTCTTAAAGCTGTCTGAAGTAAATGGAAACCGAGACTTGCTAATGCATAACCGACTAATTGCCCATTTGTAAATACCTTAACTCGATTTTGACGGTTACCTTCTATGCTACCTAAAGGTAATCATAAAAAATAAAAGCAGCTTGGTTACTCAAAGCTTCTGATAGCCTTAGCCCTGAACAACAAAGGTTTACCTACAATCTCCAAATTGTATATTTCCAGCGTATTTGAAAAAAAAAATGCTTGCAGGATGCTCATACATATGAGTGTGAAAGTGCATGCAATAAAATGGGTGCGGTCTGGGTGACCGGACCTGGGCTAGGGTGTGGTCTGCTTTTTATTTCGAAGTCACTGACGTTTTCATGAAATTCTTATAAGGGCATGAAAAACGAGTGAGTCACATGAGGTGATTTCATTGGTATTGCTTCTGGTTCATTGCTTCTGGTAAATGACCTGGTGAACGGTTAGCAGATTTTGATAATTTTTACGCGCCGCTTCGTGTCCCTCCCCTTTGATCAACTAGCGCTTATCTGATTTTGATCATTTCTGCTGGTGCGCAGTCATCGACACTGGTCGTTGTTCAATAAGAGACGCCTTGCCTAGATGAGTGGCAGTATAGGGTTCTTAACCTGCAGCTGGCGCTGTCTGTTCCACAGGCCTATCACCCCGGTCAGGCGTTTTTGAGCACGCTCTGGGGATGTCGCTGCTCAACTTGCGCAAAGGCAAGTCAGAAGTGACGGGGTATGCCCACTGCAGAGGTGCCGCCTCCGCCGTCACCGTGCCGGTCCCAGTGGACGGCCGTCGCGACTTCCCAGTGCCCGGTCCCCTCCCACCCTTTTTTGTGACATGGTATTTCTAGGTGAAAAGGGTAACAATATTTAGCGAAACAGTATGGCGTAGAGGCATAAACGGGCGTCGCAAAGAAACAAATGTCGCTCAAACAACGGACATTTTTTGTATTAGACTTCGTTATCTGACGAGGCTTAGGTTATCGATGCAAAAACCAATGGGCCAAATCTTTCTTTTAGTATCTGCCTTGGCCTTTAAGATCACGAAGCCATAGTTAGGGTTGTTATACGGCTCTACGGTCCGGCGGTATGACTGTTCGACGACCCGCGATGACCCGCGTTCAGTTGGCCCGGCTTACTGTTACATTTATTTATTTCATTTATTATTTCAGCTGCACCATTACCAGAAGCCAAAACATAGTCCAAGGCTGTGACTATGAAATTGAATACCTGTATTTGTCCATTCCATCTTTAAGCCGAAATATTAACTCAAACCATACGCTAACGGTCCATCGAAAACCTGTCTTCATACCTGAAATACATATAATGCTGCAGTGAAATATACGTGCGATTATTTGACGAGTACCAATTACCATACCATATGAGGTAACCACCACAACCTTTATTTGCGATTTTTACATCAAAGCCTTTAATTAATTACGAGCATCGCTCTTTTCCCCAGTACCTATCTTTGTTGATCGCCACTGATTCCCGTTATCGGTGCTGATTGTTGTCACAAATTGAACATAGATGCTCTGATAAAATGGTGCTGCTTCAGCTGAGCCCCCCTGCACCATAGTCTAAATATTTACGTCTTACACTCACTGTTGGTTCAAAGAGGCTCTCACCAGAGAACTTTCGATTCTTCGTGTGCTCTAAAATCGCAGGCATGTCGAGTTGTCTCTGTTTGAAATGTCAGGAGGCTTCAAGAAGATCGCGAAGCTCACACACCACCTCGTTGTTCTTTTCCACGGCAGACCACTGTGAACGTTGTGAGTACCTTCTGTGCCGGATTCCCTCCCCGCACCCGGCATGCCTTGTTCGGAGCTCGGCACCAGCGTTTTGTCGGTGTTGTGGGCACCAGTGTCTGTCCCCACCGCGCGACACCAGCGGCTGCAGTGTGACTGTGACGTGACATTGCTGTGTGTGTCCTGGCATTGCAGCACCTCCGCTCTCCTTGCATTACAGTCTGCACAATAGTATAGATGGTTCGCGTCTGGGTAAACGTTACACATTGTTTGTCATCATTGGCCTCGTGAAGCTGTATCATTTTAATTGTTTGTAGAGCGACGCTTTTTGTGCTGATTCCGGACCATTTCAACCATGAAACTCTGTACGGGCAACTCGTTGATGGTTGCTTTAAAACTTCTCACCGTTAGGTTTTCTTGCCTTGCTTTGTGTAATAGGTACGTACACTTATTTAGGGCGTGACATTCAGCCATTAGATCACTATAGATCGGTGCAGGCGATCTTGCCTTCAACACAAATTGCAAGTCTGGCGGCTGCACCGGTTGCAATTCATGCATGGGGACGTTAAAACGCCCCATGCCATTCCATTTCTCCGTGGTGCGGGAGCGCGGGAAACAACCTTTAGAAAAAAATCACTTCTGCTTGCCGTTAATCGTCCGAAAGTTAAGCTGGGAGTTTTTTTTTTTTTTTTGCTTTTGGCAAGAGGCTACGAGGCTAACTAGTACCGTTACCAACGGTTGTTGGCGCTTACCATCTTGTTCCAAGCCTTTTTCCTGGAACTTTCAGGAATGCGCCTGTAGTTGCCCTTGACCTTTGAGCACATTTCGGTAAATGCCTAGCCCGATGACCGTCGGGATTCCTTTTGGCCGTTTGACTGCGGTGACGGCGGTGACGGGGCGCCGTTCCACTGCACGGGTCGATCGGCGGTCACGGCCGGACCGAACCAGACCGGATCCGCTCGATCGGCGCCGATCACGACACGTCCGTGCGCCGCCGCAGGGTCGATGGACGGCCGCAGGGGTCGCCGTGGACGCCACTAACCTACCGGTGTCTGTGGAACTCTGAGGCAGAGATCCCGCGGACATCCGACAGCCAGCCTGTGACCAAATGGTGTCTGCAGATCTAACTCAGAGACACAGATTTACCGCACCCTGCCGGCCGGTGTGGAGCTCTGACAGATTCTGCGGACGCCCAACAGCCTACCCGGTCAGCCTTCGTATTACTCTACGGAAATCAACAGTCCACATACTACAGAGATCGCAACTCTCTAGACCGTACAGTTTCAGAATGGCGACCCAGCGATTCTGGCGATTCATCGAATTACATAGGGTAATTGTGCTAGGGTAAAAAGGAAAACTTATCAGCAGCAGCTTCTAAAACCTTTGGATAAGAATCGTGAGTAAACAGTGACATTTCCCGTCAAGTACGCAGAAGACAGGTGGGCCAGGCCAGTCAACAGTAAACTTAGCTATACCTATCGATTGGACACCAACGTGTTACGGGCACAGTTGGCTAGGCATCAGTGGCTCCAGGCGCAGTTCACGGTCCCTAGCCTCAGTCCCTGGCCACTCCCGCACGCTCGCTGTCGTGTCGTGACGGTGTAGTGCGGGTAGTTGTAACGCCACAGCGTCTCCGCACCGCCGGGCGGCTCGAACACGTGAGTACACCTGCACCGTATACCGTGCGCCCGTTTGAGTGCGACTGCACTGTATCTGTCTGTGTGTTTCAGGGCGGGCCCAGTCTGACGGACATCATTCGGTACCAGGAGGCTCGCCGGCGCGATGCCGGTCTGCAGAACGGTCCGGCGGCGCGGCGCGGCCTGGGCACCGGTCGGCGCCGTGACGAGCGTGTGCGCACCCCGCCGGCAGTGGCCGGCAGAAAACACTACCGCGTCCAGACCGAGCCCTACCTGGAGGAGGTGAGTGGACACTACACAGCATACACTACACACCACTCCAAACACTACCGCGTCCAGACCGAGCCCTACCTGGAGGAGGTGAGTAGACACTACACACTACACACTACACACCATTCCAAACACTACCGCGTCCAGACCGAGCCCTACCTGGAGGAGGTGAGTGGACACTACACAGTACACACTACACACTACACAGTATACAGTACACAGTAAACACCATTTCGAACACTACCGTGTCTAGACGGTGGTGTCGGGCCCGGTGCACGCGGTAGGTGATGTCATCCCTTCCTCCCGGGCTGCGGTGCAGGCCACTCCCGAATTACCACTGGTGCCGCCGCCTCTGCGGCCATGTGGGAGCGGTGCTTCTGAGTCATCCTTGATCAGCACCGGTCCGCGGCTCCATTGAACAGGCATGATGTGCATTTCGCACACGGTACACCAAGCTTATGTGCATCATGTCATGCATTGTTTTTTAAGCATTAGATGCATTCTGCACATTATATAAATGGTCATAGACTACTGTGTTACTGTACTTAGATATATGTAGAGTAATGTTCGAAATGGTAAACAATCGTATCACTTTGAGCTACACTTGTACTTGCTGTAATCACCTCATAAACGGATCATAACCACTTCGCGGTTAGAAATCAATTTCTAACAATGGTTGAAAATATGTGTCTTTTACTCCTATTGGACCTTTTTCTCTTCCCTCTCCTCGCTCAATCGCCAAGTGCCCAGGATAACTGGTAGAACAAGTGGCCCCACACCTGACCTCCCTCCCTTACATCGCGTGGACATGTTGTATAGGACTCCGCCGACATGCCAATTACGATGAACAGCGTGGCCACGCGAGCGCCAGACAGCATCAATATTCTCATTAGCGTGTGGCGAGCGGTGGGGCCGTCACGTCCCCTCCCCGGGCCCGGCGCCGCTCCTGTCGGTCGTCGGGGTGTTACCGTCGGCTGAGGCGGACTTTCGGGGGCACGCGACTGACCTGTGCATCTGTCCCCGCCTGCCTGACCGAACCCATGGCCTGCTGCCGACCGCGCTGCGGTCTCCGATCAGTTGTCATCACACAGTCTCATTGTCACGCGCGTTGTCTCTGACTCACTGTGCCACCATTGTTGAAAAACACCTGTAAGGTCTCTGGCTGCCACCGGAAGGTGCTTTCCCATCGATCGTGTTTGTTTATTGATGTCATGTGTAATAGTCAATACCAGCGCGAGGACTGTCCGGGGCACGGCGGATACATAAATCACTGCGGTCGACGGCCTCGTTCCCCCGATTTAGGCTGGCGCGGCCATAAGGTGCATGCCGTGCCCGGCGGCTGTTTCCTGAGTCGGTCCCGCCGCCCATATCGGTCGCTCCTGGTCACGAGTCACAGCGGCGCCAAATGTCGCGCCATGTCGCACACTACCCGGCGGTAACGCTGTGATTTTTAGTAACGTTAAAGTCATTCATCGCAAATTTAGGTAGGTACATACATATATCTATAGTCACCGTGCATACATACAGCTTTGTCACTAATGAAATTTTTATCAATTAGTTTTGTCTTTCTTCAACAAGTGATGTAGCGGTGTGGTGTCTGATGCTGATCTCTCCCCCGGTCTCAAATAGTTCAGCGGGATAAGCGCGGTAGGTACTCCCTCCGTGCATTATAATTGATATTGCTCCCGCGCTGATAACTCTTAGCTACTGGATATTTTACCGGCAATGTGTGCTCGGTCCGCAGATCCGCGACCGGCGCGTGGAGGCGGACCGGGCCGTGCAGACTGACCCGCTGCTCGACCGGCCCAGCACGCCCCTCTTCGTGCCGTCCAAGACCGGCGCCGACGTGGCCACGCAGATCTATGAGGGCGACGTGAGTACCGGCACTCTGCACCCCTGATGCTGACCCCTCCCCCCCCCCCGCTCGGTCGGCAACCCCGGCGCGGTGCCGAGCGATGACGCATCCACAGGCACCGGGCCTTGGGGCGTGTCGCATGGGCAGCCGTTTGAATGGGCTGTGGGAATACCCGTCTCGGCTGGTGGATGAATAGCGTTTCTCCGGCTGAGCTGGAGGCGGCGCCGGGGGTTCCCAGGCGGTGGCGGCTCCAGCCGCCGCCTGGCACCGACCCCGAGAGGCAGTGACTCATCCTGCGTGCCGGGCCGCTGCGCGGTGGGCCGGAATGGCGGCCGACGCGGGGTGGGGGATGGGTGAAAGCGAGGCTAGCGCGGGTGCTTCAGCATGGGGCTGGCGCCGAGTCGGCCGGGACCGTCTGAGTTCTGACTCTCCTCTCGGTAGTCCCACGCCCGTAAATAGCCGGGTGTTTCCTTTTTCTAACCAAGGAGAGGCGCTGCCCGGAGAATACCCATTACCCAATGGCGTCATTGAAAATGGTTCATATACTACCTCATTCCGGACAGTTGGCTGCTTGTTCAGTGGTATCCGCCTTGTGATTCATGGGTTTAGCGTTCGCACTTCGCAGCCGGTCGCCCGTTGATATTTTTGACCCGATCTAGGTTTGTAAGTTGTAGGTTTAAGGTTATAACTAGATTGTAGGTTGTAAGTTAGGTTAAATCAGGTAAGGTAAGGTTTGTTTCGGTTTGGCTTGGTTAGAAAGAAGCATCTCCGGGTACAGCGCCTCTCCTTGGTTGCAAAAACGAAACACGCGACCGGTGACCCCCGAAATGGGGTCAGTCGGAGCCAGCCTGCGAATTCGGGACACTGCTGGGGATATCCCCATTCAGGAGAGCTCAGACCAGAGTCCTGACCTATTGACCTGGCCCGAGGAGCGAGGCAGCGCATATTGCACGCATTAGTTATTGCAGTGACTAACCCGCCCGGTTTCTTGTGCACTCAGCACAGTGCCACGCTCAAAATGCGGCACACATCTGGCTTACAGGTCCAGTCCGTATGACTCGCACCGCAGGAATTTTGTTTAGACAGATGACATCAGTTCGATCATGAGTGAAACTTTTTGGTCATTGAATGTGACATTTTATTTTGCAATTGAACAGTTCATGGTCCGCTCGACAGAAATCATTTGATGACAACATAGTTACAGTGTAGGAACACTGAACTGCAGACACATGCATTGTGCAATGCATGGATCCGCGAAAATGGATCTGGTGTCTGCTCCCACGGATCCTGATCTCGGATCCGGCAGGATGACAGATACAACTCTTGAATTTATCGAGAGATCCATAGGGATTATAGATCCAAGTCTAATTTTTTGTTTGAGATCCGCCATCCAGTGAGATCATAGATCCTCAAGTTATGATTTGTCAACACAGAAAAAAATCACTTGTCGCAACTCACAAATTTTATGTGATTGCAGGTCATAATCCATAGTTTTGTGGCACCTATTGACATATAAATACTTGGAAACCTGGTTTCAAATGTTGTGCATGGTGGGATCTACTCAGATCATAGATCCATGTTCTTGGTTTCTCTTCAGGTTCTATGAGATCATAGATACAGGATATTTTTTTCACGCCGGATCCGGTAAGCTCATAGATCCTAGCCTGCAGTTTGCTTCAAGATCCACTGAGATCATATGTAGATCCATGCACATATCTGCTGAACAGTATCAGACGCCTTTCTTGATGATGGCAAAGTCCCATAACTGAGCGACCCGTGCAAATTACCTTTACACATTTTATAGGACAAAGTCGTGTGGACAGCAAAGGTGTCATTCAAGTAGGTAACTACTTACATACAATATGCTGACTAATTCCAAGTCGCGCGACTGTACGTTTTGCTGGAAATAATCCCCGGTATTTTGGCGAATATCCACTGATGGTGACTGGTGACACGTACATACATACACGGCGGCGGCGGCGGGTCGCGGCGGGTCGCCGTGTACCCGCGTGTCGTCCGGCGGCGCCATGGTATATCGATCGACGGACACCCCTGTTCCCGGGCCCGTGGCGGCCGGACCAGCGCGTGTACTGTGCACTGAGCAGGGTCGGCACGGCGGCGGAGCGGCGGCCGCCCGTCGGCTCCCGTGCTCCGTGATGGAGTACCGTGCCAATGCCGCTGCGACTGGCATTGATGGCCGGGCATCACATACCCGGTGGCATTACGGTGGCCCGGAAGCTTTTATGGAGGCTTTGAGCGACAGGCTGAGCGAAATAGGACTGCAAAGAAATATATAAGTGCATCTCGATTCGGGTCGTTTTGTCTGACATTGGCCCACAGGTAGCGTTTGAGATCAAGCGGATAAGACAAGCTGCAGGAAACGCTATCAGTGTTCGCCATTATCCCACCCTCAGATTTTTCCTTAAAATTTATATAGATGAGGCATTCCTAATTTCACCTTATAATTTTTCATGAATTTTTCAAAACTCAAACTTCGAATCGCCTGGACAAGTCGATTTTGTTTTGTGAAATCTCATTTTATGAGGATGCCACGTCACCCCTGGGCTTGGTGTATACCCCGCCCGCTCCACCTACAGACCCCCTATGATGAGTGATATGATGAGTGATGAGTGAGTGATAGTGCAGGACTCGTCGGGCGCCGGCGGGGCGGGGTCCCTGTGGAGTCACTGTCGAGGTCTAACCGCATCCCTCCCTGGGCCGCGCCCGTCCCCGTCCCCGCCGAGTGTCACGCGGCAGACACGAGCCGCTTCCTGCCTCCTCCTCCCGTCCCGGTCCGTCCGGGGGGGGGGGGGGGGTCTGGCGGGCCGCACAAGGAAGCGGGCGGCCGATAACTCGACACGCTACGTCTCGTCCGTCGTCAGAGCGTCGATAGGGGCGGGATCGACGGGGCACGAGCGGGACTGGGCGGGAGTGTCCCGACTGGCCGATTTCCGAGCAGTCACACCTCTTATCGGCCCTCGACTTTGTCTTTGGATCTTATCAGGTTTGAAACACGTGGCTGGAGGCGTTGCGTCACCGATATAGACCACGAGTTGCACCACTGTAGAGCAAATATGCCCAAATTAGTCTAATGCAGGCTCGACAATGCCGCCGTGAACCGGAGAGTTCTAAAAGATTTCCTTTGGAGGTGCGTTATTTTTACACGTACAGTTTAATTTTAAAATCAGTGTGCTTTAAGGCCGCCCCACACTGGACCTCGCATGCGGGTTGCGAGTTTTTAGGTTTTCGGGTTTCATCAAAATCAAACAATACAATCTAAGCTGAGTGACCCACACTACCATCTAACAGGCGAGTCTGCATGTTTTTAGCTTACGAGCGACCTTGCATCGCGTTCCAAAAGTTGGTTTTGAGTCAACATTCGAATTTCCTCGCTGCGAGGTCTGCGAGTTCTGCGAGGTTTGCGGGTTTTTCGTTAGAGTCGAATTTTGGTTCGTTGCGCTGGTGTTGCGACTATATGTAAGTTTTTGAAGGTGCACTGGCTTCACTGCATTCATGAAGTTAGCATAAGGGAGCGATCAAATTACTCTATAAATTAGTATTATGCCCGCAAACTCAAAACCCGCAAACTCGCAACCCGCATGCGAGTTCCAGTGTGAGGCGGCTATTACTCGTGATAATCGCCGGTAACTTATGCGAAACTCAGTAGGTACCTATACCTACCTAAGCGTAACTTTGGAAATATCCGCTTTTGCGTCTTTTGCGTCTATTCCCATTTCCCGTGCTACGGCGCTATCAGATTTCCAGGACGAATTGGAATTAAGCTGTGATCGATATCGATATGGACTGCAGCTCATGTATTTGCTCAGAATGAATTTTCACACTTACCTAGAATTCCAAAGACTCGCTCGTTGCTACCGTTCCCATGTTTCGCCTGATGAGACCGTAGTAAATACGGCATTCGCCTGGCGCGCCGGCCAGTCTCGTATCGACCATCGACCCGCTCAAAAACAGCGACTGAATTCCAGCCTGGCGGTCAGGGGGATCGTCGGCCGTCCACGGACAGGTGGGGGGCCGGGGGGGGGGCGACTGTCGAGGCGTCGACAGCCGGCGGGCACGGACCGAGTTACGCTCCCCCTGTATATACGGCGGGATATTGGTCACATCGACGGTGTGGCAGTGGGTGCGCAGGGCTCATGGTAGGCCTCGATGGGACTTTTCACGAGCGCTTAGCGCGGATTTGACGAGTGCATGGAGGTTTGTAGGACGAGGTTGCTGGGTTGTATTTGAGCATTGCAATGTAGTCGCGACATGACAGTATGGATTCACTGTAACCATAGACCTACTCCTGTTTATCGCCGGAACGGTAGCCAATTTAAGCACCTACTATTTCATGCTTGGGGAATAGTTGGAGTCGATTTATTGCGTTATTTTTGCACTGAAATAACGAGAATTACTCTGTCGTCATGACCGATTGTGAGTGATGAATTATTGCCTTGCAGTGCGCTTTGTTTACCATTGCGCATTTGTAAATCCAAGACACTAAGCGAGGTCCTGGTCCAATGCCAACACTCGTTTTCCGTCGCAGCTGTAGGAACGTGCTTTATTTTAATGACGTTTTATTTTTTATTTATTTTTTATTTTTTTATTTATTAATTTGTTAATTTATTTATTTTTTATGATTGATCGGTTTGACGTTTTCAGAATAGCATTTCCTTCTTCTCGTAACCCTCGTCGTGCCTTTGAATGTTGATTCTTTATTTGACCATCTTTACTTTGACCAGTTTGATACTTACCTAATGGGTCTTTTGCTTCTTTTCCTTCGTCGCGTAACCCTCGTCAGCCGTCACACGTTTGGATATTAATTATTTGCTCGACCATGTTCATAGGGATTAGGGGCCTGTTTGATCAGAGCCCAGCCCACTATACACAATTGAACGGCATTGCAAATGCCAAATGAATGGGTATACCTAGTGTTTGAGGACCGCATATTTCTCATTTCAGAAAACAAATAGCTATCTCGAACCATTACGCTATTGTACATTGCGTACTAACTATTCATAGGCGCGGGAGTCGGGGGGGGGGCAGTGGGGGCAGCTTGCCCCCCCCCCCAACTCTGGGGTCGTGTGGGCGGTGCCTCCCCCCAACTTTGAGACGGAATACCGCACTTTTTTTGCAAATGCTTTCTTTTTTTGTTGAAAAACCAAGGAATGAAAAAGGTGTACTAAAATCAGTGAAAAAACTAGATTTGGGGTACCCTAGGTTGACCTCTATTATGGTGTGCCCCCCCCCCCCCCAGTCTGAAAGTAGTTCCCGCGCCCCTGGTACTATTACAATACGAAGCAAGTGCTTGAATTTGCCGTTGAGTCGCACGCTGGCTTTAGGCACTTAAAGTAATGTAGAAGTGTCGGCACTTCTGGTCGCGAATGTTATGCGCTGCTCACGTATGTGTAATACTCTGTGTGTGTCGGGCAGCTGTTTGACTTTGAGCTGGAGTCGGCGCCGATCCTGGAGGTGCTGGTCGGCAAGACGGTGGAGCAGAGCCTGCTGGAGGTGATGGAGGAGGAGGAGCTGGAGACGCTCAAGGAGCACCAGCGCCGCTTCGAGGAGCGCCGCCAGGCAGAGCTGGCCGAACAGCAGCGGCTGGCCGAGCGCGAGCGACGCCACGTCGAGGAAAAGGTCAGTGGCCAGCGCACAGTGGCCCTTTTTCAGAATTAGCACGCATTAATTCCCACATTACCTGAAAGTGGTGCAAGACATCACCACGTGATCAAGGACGTATTCCCTGCCAATGCAAAGAGAAGAAAAGAAACGAACTGCCCAAGGAGATTCGGCCCAACAGCGACAGGCCGCTCGGCCCAAGATTTGGCGCACGTTCGCACGGCTCGCCCGCCGGCCCAGGCCGCTCCGAACGCAAGTGTGGAGAGCCCGCCAGCCGACCGCGCTGCACTGACCGCCAGGACGCCTCAGGGCGTCACGTGACCGCATCTACAGCTGTTGCCAGCCACCGTTAGTCGGCCCCGGCCGAGCAGCAACTAAGGTCAGCGCGACGCGCGAACAATACAAACACATAGGCGCTTTTGACGTTAGATCTTAAGCCGATCCCACGGGACTTGTGCGGCTTGGACATCAAACGCGACAAGAAATCGGACAGTTTTTCTTGAGCACAGCGTTATGCCTACATGACATTTCAATAAGCACATCTTATGGCAAAAGTCAAGCCACATTTAGGCGCCCACCAGGTGACACCAGCTTCGAGCCAGGTCAATGAGCTTAGTCGTATCGAACAGGAGCCACAGCCGTTCGCGGACTGAACTGGTTCACGTTATCCACCGTAGAAGCAAAATGGCGCAAAATGGCGCGATGCCCTTTGGTGGACATGGTCAGAAGAGACCGGCGATTCGAACGATGTATAATACGACATGTTCCAGAGTGTGCTACTTAACATAAAGCTTCATATGTATGCCGCCATCTCCAGTTAATAATCGTCCTGTTATTGTGTCCACAATATTCGGCAAAAGTGGCCTATTTAAGTTTATACAATGAAAATTGTGGTTTCTAGGGCTTCTACGTAAACTCAGCTTCACAGCCATGCCACTTATTTTTAATATTTTCTCACCGAAAGCCTTACAAATTGTTGTTCATCTCACCCTACTTTTTAGGGTCCGCCGGTGGTGTCCGCGCGCCTCTCGACAAACTTCGATTTTGCGGTCAGTTTTACCAAAGATGATTATTTTTTAGGAGGTAAAAATGGCACCATCGGATAGTTTGGAATGTTTTGCACACGATTAGACTACTTTTTACTCAAAAGAAGAGAAAAAATATTTTGAATTTATGCGTGCTAATTCTGAAAAAGGGCCACTGTGCAGCGGCTGTCTGGCTGTCTGGCTGGCTGGCTGGCTGGCTGTCTGTCCGGCTGTCTGTCCGTCAATTTACTGGTGTGGAGGACTCGGGGAGAAGTACTGACATACACTGGTACACTCTTTAACACTGGCTCCAGATGCGAAAAGGGCTGTCGCATCGTTCAGCAGGCATATGTGATTCTGTTTTCTTTTCTTGTTCTGGCATCGCCTAATATTTTGTAGTTCAAAGCGTTAAGAACATCTGAATTTAAAGTGAAACCAAAGATCGAAGACCTTACTTTTTGAAGACAGAAAGAACTGCATTCCACAGACAGATAAAATTAATAAACTTAAATCGCAAACATTTTAATAATCGCCCTGGTCAGCACGCTCGTCTCTGAACGGCTTTTGAGCTGGCTCGGTGGGTCGTGATTTTCGATAACTGGCGGCCGGGTATCGACTGGCCCCTGTCCGGGGTCGGGCCGTTACCCGGCCGTGATAGGCCCGGTTATAGCTGCGGTCTCTGACTAATTCAGCCGCCTCGATCGGCCGCACACGCCGGCACCGACAATAGAGTCCCGGCCGGGCCCGCAGTGGTGACCTTCTGGGATGTCGGAGCGGTCAGCGGACGGTGTATCGGGAACGGCTGGCGGTCAGCGGCCGGTGTATCGGGAACGGCTGGCGGTCAGCGGCCGGTGTATCGGGAACGGCTGGCGGTCAGCGGCCGGTGTATCGGGAACGGCTGGCGGTCAGCGGCCGGTGTATCGGGAACGGCTGGCGGTCAGCGGCCGGTGTATCGGGAACGGCTGGCGGTCAGCGGCCGGTGTATCGGGAACGGCTGGCGGTCAGCGGCCGGTGTATCGGGAACGGCTGGCGGTCAGCGGACAGTATATAGGGAACGGCTGGCGGTCAGCGGACGGTGTATCGGGAACGGCTGGCGGGCGCGGCCGGCCGGCCAGCCGATCAGCCTTGCCGCGCACCGGCCCGCCCGGCCGCGGTCGCCGAGTTCGTTACGCTAATGCCTGACCTGCTCGTCAATGCCTGAAACAGACTTTCCGCAGTCAGGAAATCACATGCGAGAGCCTTATCTAAATAGATGTAAGCACCCTCACATCAATCGCACGCACCTCCCAGATGCGATTGATGCGGGAAGAATTATAATGTATTTGAATTGCCTGTCCCGTAGCTCAGTTGGTAGAGCATCGGACTCCCGGTAGTGAGAGCCCGGGTTCGAGACGCTCCGGCGCTCGATATATGAGACTCCTGACGGGGATGGTCTGCGGTTGGTGGGAGCAGCCGCAGCCAGTTGAAGTCAGTTGAGTGGGACAGGCCGTGTCCGGCTTTGAAGGGCACGTTAAACTTTGGCATCTAAATTCTCCCGTTACCCGGAATTGCGCGATCAGACGGTAGGGGTCGGGGTCTACGCAACAAGCTCTGCTTAGCGTGGACTCCGGCTCTGTCAATCCGTCCATTCAAACATTCGAGCTAAATTTAAAAAAAAAAAATAGGCTCTCGCATGCGATTTCCTGAACGCCGAACGGGTCTGTTTCAGCCTTAAAGGGACTATCCCACCTTTAACATGGGGTTTGAGTTGAGATAGCCAAGTTTGCGGCGAGGTTCAGAAACCACTATCTATCTAGGTTGCAACCCCCGCGGCCTCTTGGTGTTGAAGAAATTCGTTCCCTTGATTTGAAAATGGGCCTTGTACAAGGCCCTATCTTCAACATGGAGCGACCGTTAGTGTGACGTCACCTCGTTTAGTCATTCTGATTTAAATGGGTTTGTTCGTTGAAAAATCGCTTAAAACTTGGTCTGAACTTTGTTGTGGTGCCTACAGAGTAAAAAGAATCAGCTTTATGACAGTAATGTGGCCTGGGGAAGGAGGTAATTTTGGGCTGTGACGTCACATATTTGAAAGTTTGTGTTTGGAATATGGGAAGCCTAAGATGTTTAATGAAAAATAAATGCCAGAACCGTGTTCCTGGTCATCCAATCTATAAAGTCGGGCACAATTTAACTGGTTTTAACAACATTTTAGAAGGTGGGATAGTCCCTTTAAGGACGTCTTTTGGGGAGATGCCGTGTTTTGCTTTGCCGGCTGCAAGGAAATATTTATTGGTATGGTTTGAGTGGTTTCCAGTGGCTCACATACTCCGATGAAAGACTAAATGTAAAAATGCAAGTGTCAGCAAGGCCGTTCCGTCGCTCATTACGTTGTAAAAACACTTTAACTCCCGACGTTTCGCTGTTTACTGCTTAGTCATGTAAACAGCGAAACGACGTAAACAGCGAAACGTCGGGAGTTAAAGTGTTTTTTTTTTACAACGTAATGAGCGACGGAACGGCCTTGCTGACACTTGCATTTTTACATATCTGTCATATAATTATATGAAAGACTAAATGATGTTCCTAGAGTTCTCGGTAAATGAAATGTTGATCAATGTTGACGAATACTTCAGTAGGTACGCGTTCACCAGTCTTCGTGGCTAATACGCAAGTCTTCCGAATGATGTTTTTAATTGTTGAACGCAGACCATCCAGTGCTCCTTTGCATAAACCCATTCAGACACGCGCTAAGTGGATAGCGTGGCCCGTGTAGTGTAGTCAATTTCAAGGATAAGCAAGTGTAAGATGTGAGGCATTCGTACATAATAGATGAGACTTGAATGTCTTAGCGTGATCGCCTGACCGGCATCACTCGGCTTAGGGCCGGCGGCCGTTCTGTCAACACGGGGCTCACAGGCCGCAAAGGAATGACATGTCACCGGTATGCTGACCCATGAAACCTGGCACTATACATGTTTGATATCCGGACAGAGACATTTTGTGTGCGTCGTACTGGATGTAGCGTGACCGGAGCATGCTGTTCAAACAGTGGTTCGAAACGTTGTCCCCCTTCGCTGCTAGCGAGCGTCCCGGCCGAAGTAGCATTCTTATGTCGTGGATTGTCGTTCCCGTGTCTCAAAATACCTCACTAGGTACTACTGGATGGCTGGACCGGAGGATCACCCACCCACGGGCTCTTTGCAGGAATACCACCTCTACGGTGGCACTTGCCAGCTATGTTTGTCTGCTGACCGTTATATAAGCCTTTCAGTATTCCCCATGCCGTGTGGCAGGATGGCTGGTAATGTCGTGTAGGTCTGGTTGGCGGGGTGGCTGCTAATCCCTTGTGGGCCGTGTGGCTCGTCACGGTTCCACCGCCTGTCGCCGGTACTGTCGGTAACGTAACGGGACGCTCCGCGCCGGCAGGAGCGGCGGATGTCTCAGCGCCGCTCGGCTCTGGAGCAGGAGACGGAGACGGAGGCCAAGGTGGCCGCCTCGGCGCTGGCGCAGAGCTACCTGGCCGACATGGTGCCGGCCGTGTTCAGCAACCTGCGCCAGAAGGGCTTCTTCTTCAACGGCGTCGAGCGCGACATAGAGATGACCTTTATGCCGTGGCTGCGGGACGCCGTCGAACAGGAGCTGGACAAGGTGCTCACCGGACGCGAGGTGCTCGACGGTGAGTGCTCGGACCGGCGGCCCAGCGGCTCAGCTGGGCGGCTCTTACCGGATCGCCGGCCGGGGGGGGGGGGGGGGCCGAGGATTAGTTGGGGGGGGGGGGTCCGGGTGTCGCGTGGGCTTGATATCTTTCCATCGGTCTTTAGACTGACATGCTGGTCAGCTAATGACCCTAAATTTGCAGTGACATTTTCGGTATCTCGTGGTCATGTATTTTACAACAACTATGAAGGATAACAAATTAAAAGAGGAAGGGTATTTGGAATAGAGTTGGCTCATGACGATATGCCTCCCTAGCAGCACTAGCTGCCGTGCGGCCCTGCCGGCTGAGCTGACCGTGCCGTCCCCGTCCACCGCCGCCCGCAGAGCTGATCCTGGACGCGGTGCGCAAGCGGCGCGAGGAGCTCGAGCAGCGTCCGTCGCTGAGCGCGCGCCTGCCGCCGGCGCCGCTGGCCGAGCCGGCCGCCGAGCCGAGCGCGGCCGCCGCCGACGGCGACGGCCCGGTATCGGCGGCGGCGTCGGCGGCGGGCGGGCCGGCCGGAGACGAGGCCGAGGACGACTCGGAGGAGGAGGAGGCCGACGACTCGGGCGAGGAGGAGGCCGCCGCCGACGAGGGCTCCGACGACGACGACGCCGGCAAGGGCGCCGAGGAGGGCGCGCCCGACGACGACGAGCCCTAGACCGGCCGCCGACACACACACGGTACGTGACCTCAGATATACACATCGAGTATACAGGTCCGCTCAGACTGCTGACCTACAGTGACGGCCCTAGACCGGCCGCCGACACACACACGGTACCTACGTGCTTTCGTTTACCTACAGATCTGCTGCGATAACTAGACACGGTAGACCCATGTGCAAGTCTCACTTCCTATAGGCCCGCCGACACCTGAGACCACATCATATGCAGCTCGTATGCTAGTGATCTTCCCGACTTAGTTACTATAGCTTATTGGCCTGACATGAGCCGTTGCGCATTGAGCTTCGTCGATTTTTTTTTTTATTGTTTCGGACTTGTGTTCGTTATGTTCAGTTAGTTGAACACCAATAATAATGGGTTTGGGGTTTGCTTCTGTTAATGCTCCTGGTGGCATTTCCAAACTGTGTTCATGAACTGCCTTACCGCGGGTATCTGCATGCAACAGTTTGCACTATTGTAATTGTGTTTAGTTTGACTTGTAGTGATGACAGCACAATTCAGGATACCCAATGGCTGCTAAGTGCTAGCAGTAACCGAACCAGTCCGGTTAGCGTATGTGTCCTAACAGTAGCAGTATTGTTAAATTGCTGCGCTTCGTATTCGGGCACCCGTCGGGCGGCGCGTTCCGCCTCTCGTCTCGAACGCGACCGTCTCTCGGCCGCTACCTATCTGTCCTGTCGATCTCCGGTGTGGCCAGACGGGGCGCGCTGATTGGTCGGGAGGCGGAGCGGGGCCCGCGGCGGCGACCAACCAGCGGCCGCCCTGCTCTCAGGAGCAGCGCGCCGCTCCGGTCCCGTGCGCTGCGGGCGCGGCCGTCCCTGCCGTCAGCCGCCGTCGTATGAGTCTCAATCTGCTCGCTGAGCTGACCTTAGATCACATACATTCTCAGCAGGTCTGCGGAGTCGGAGTCGGAGTCGGAGTCGGAGTCGGTCGGAGTCGACAGTTGTGACCGGAGTCGGAGTCGGAGTCAGTGTCGATTTTAGAAACCCGAGCCGGAGTCGGAGTCGGAGTCACCGAAAATCTGTCGACTCCGCAGCCCTGCTAGGTCTGCGGAGTCGGAGTCGGGAGTTGGAGTCGGTCGGAGTCGACAATTCTGCCCGGAGTCGGAGTCGGAGTCGGAGCTGGTTTTTGAAAGCCGGAGTCGGAGTCGGAGTCGGAGTCGCCGAAAATCCATCGACTCCGCAGCCCTGATTCTCAGAGCTGATCAAACGACCTCCTATCCCCGGTACTGCTCGGTCTGGTTGCTGAGCTGATCTGAAGTCACAGATGAGCATCAGAGCCGATTGACCTGCAACACCGGTACATACCTACTGCTCAGGCCCTCGGTGCCCTTGGCTACAGATCAGGATTGCCTATCTGTTTAGAACGATTCGATGCTCACAATTCAGAAACGGAATAGAACATTGATGATAACAGTGAGTTGCGATGCAATAAATGTGTTTAAAAGATAAATAATAACAATAATTAACAAAAAGAGAGGGTAGTTAATGATTTTTAACAGCGCGCCCTCGTTTCGGTCAGTTATAAGTACCTGCTTGGTCATTTGCTACCAGTATCAAAATGGTCTTTTTTTATTCAATAATTTGGTGCAGCCATAGAAATGGACTCCCGACATACCTACCTATACCTACGACATAGACAGTTAACGGTGGTAGTAGGTATCTGCAGAACGAAAGCATGTCCCTTTTGATAATCCTTGCTACCGCTTATTTTGTTGTTCCTCACGATTCGTGACTCAGTCGCTTGTTTACCATCGTGCATGTTTCATGGTTCGCTGCAACATTTGCACTAGCAGCGCCTATGCTAATACCTCACGGCGACGGCGTTGTATGTACCTCGTCAAGTCAGAAGTGGAGCGGACCGTCACTGGTCGGCGGAACGCCTGTCTCCACTCCAGTCCTTCCCAGTTCCCAACGTACGGATAACACCGGCTGGGGATACCCAATTCCAAAAACAAAACGTGGTCCTTTTTCACAAGTGCTCAGGAATAACGAAAGTTTCATAACCAGCGGACAATTTCAGGTAATTCAGAGTTTCATGTCGCTGGTTGACTGGTGGTCCGCTCAACCACCCTGGCTGATTAGACACGATGATGACGGATGGCAGACGCGACAGTGAAACTATGCATTTGATGTGCAGAGCTGCTGCAGTCTGATATAAGACAATACGTGAATTCCTCATCGGCTTGGTTTCTGGCCGGTACGGAAGAATGAAGACCTAGAGGTAACGCAATTTGCAGATACATTAGGCACTTCACAGTTTCCAGTGCGGTCGCTATAATGCAATAATGCACAAACAGATGCTGATTATGTAAGGATTTGTGTTATGAGGTTATTGGTGGAGCCAGCAAATAACTGAATGAAAATTCTTTTATTGACGTTTCGGTTCCAAGCAACCTTCGTCAGAATAACAAGTTAAAATGTAAACATACGTATCGTTTACATTTTAACTTGTAATTCTGACAAAGGTTGCTTGGAGCCGAAACGTCAATAAAATAATTTTCATTCAGTTATTTGCTGGCTCCGCCGATAACCTAATAACACAAAAATGCACAAACAACTTGTCGACCCGTAGAAGATAAGAATGGACGAAAATTCAATATCCCGTCTTGTTATTGGTGTGTTGGCAACTCCCGCGGCGGAGTTTTCATGTGGTATGATGCCACTCCTGCCGTGTCGGCTGCTGAGGCATGCCGATCTAATAATGAGCGAGCCCCCCGGGTGGAACAGGCTCCTCCATGGAGCGGCGCCGCGCCAGCCTTCCCCGTATCGGCTGGGCAGCTACGGCGAACGAGTCGCATGCCGTGACAAAACGATCCAGTATTAGGCGGTATTGGCGTTTGGTGGAATGTCGCTGGCGTGACCGACCGGTCCTAAATCGCAGAACTGGACCAATTACCAGCGTACCAAAGTCCACCCACTTCGTATCAGTTATTGATGCTGTCAGCGTAGACCTTCGTGGAGCTGTAATGTCTGGCATAGCGTCGGGTCGTCCAGTCGAGGCCTCCTCTCGTAATCCGTGTCCTACCGCGGTGCTCCCGCCCACTGCGCGCGGTGTGTCCGGATGACGACAGACCGCCGGCGGTCTCATACGCTCTGATTACACCTGCCCGCGCGGCGCCGGCAGTCGGGAGCCCCCGGCTCTGCTCGGCGGGCGCCGCCGCGGGCTGTCCGACCGGCCGCCGCGGGCAGTCGCCGTAGCCCGGCAGCGCGGCGGCCAGGCTCAAACAAACCTGGGTCCATACCGCCCGGGGCGGGGCCGCGGAGTGACGGCCTGCTTACCCATTCCATTACCGGGGATGTCCGGTCCGCGCCGGAGCGCTGTTTTTGCACGGGGACCTTTCCACTGACATTTGAGTAAAAAGCTGATCGAGCTCCCGCTGCGTGGCGTTTTTGCGACACATGACATACGAGCGGTGATTGGTACATGATCGAACGTCTTGTCTTGGTCTTGTCGGTGTCGTAAGCAATCTGCACCTGATATTGTAGGTAATACGGCCCATAATATGGGCCGTATAAGGCCGTATAATCCTCTGTCCATAATGTTATCATGATACGACGATTTGTAGACCAGTAAGTAGACGGACACCATGAAACAAGCCTACTATATAAACTATAAAGCAAGACAAATCAATAAAATGCGGCAAAATTAACGTTTGATAGTTAGCTATCACAATTATATTGATAATTAATTGTTAATTTATTTGGTATATTGACACGCTTACACGCTTATTGACACGCTTACAGTGTGCAAACTGTGAAAGATATACTTAATGACATACAGTCACGTCATGCAGTTCCCATAAAACGAAAAGTCAAGGTTTCCGTCTGTCATGCAGGTCGTAAACGTACATTATTTGGATTACTGCTCAGTGCTCAGCGTTGAGAATGTCGTGCAACTTCCGTTTGGGTCGGGCTGGAAAGGGCTGGGTCGCTGTAACCGGCAGTGCGCTAGTGCGCTGGTAGATTCTGGTTGCAGTGCTGGCCGATGACTAAGAAATGCCAATTGCAATCTGGCGTGCGGTCGGACAAATGACTGATTTATGTCCTCGTGTCTGCGTGCGTTACTGTCCCGATCAGCGATTAATGTTTGAGCCTGCTAATGTCCTAGCTCATGATCTACATACATAGAGTCCTCGTCGGCCATTCCGATTTACTTCCCGTCGTCTGGCTTGGCACTAATCCCTTACCAGTTTAACGTACTTCCCTAGTCCTCTGTCTTACAATACATATCGGTTGTTATCGGACGGGGGACTATCCTATGGTATCAGGCGTTTCCAGCACGGGGTCCGAAGCCCTCCTCTCTGCAGAGGGGGGGGGAGGTTCAGTGGGCGCCCGTCCGTCTGGCTGTGTGACCGGGTTCACCTGCTGCGGCCCGGTCCCCTCCCGGCTGGCCGTAATGGCCGTGAAGGAGCGGCGCGCGGGGCGACTGGGAGCCGACCAGCTGCCGCCGCCGCCCCCGCCGCCGTGCACTTGTTCCCCGGCCGGCAGCAGAGACTAGAGAGACGGGATGAGTGGGAGCAGCTGCTGGTGAAATCGGCGCTCTGCAGGCCTCGGTCGGTGAGCGGCCACCACTGACAAAGGAGGACGGGACGGGCGGACTCTCACACAGACAGCAGCTGCACCGCGCTCTCGATCGCGGTTTAACTCCGCGCCGACCGGCAGCGACCGATCCACTTTTCAGGCCTCAGCTCTTGCACTCGGGCCTCTCGGGCCTAGAACAAGAACCGAGCGTGTCTGAATGAACCTGTTCAGCGTACAATGCGGTAGTTACAGTGCGCGATGCTGCCGTTCAGAGTGACTTGGCCCGAGTGACGACGGGACGTTGTTTTCTGTGTGTTTCAGAGCCGACCACCGACCACCGACCACCGGCTGCTGGGTGTCACCGCTCCGTAGGACTTTCACCAGAGCGCTGATGTGTTCCCCCTCAAAATGTCTGTCAACCACCGGTGTCCACCGTCCCCTCCCCTCTCCTGGGCAATCATTCCATTATTTCCATGTTAAAGTCGGGCGCGCGCTGCTGGGGGCGCCGTGTTGGCTGTTGAGTGGCGTGCCGCCGCCGCGGGTCCGCGCGGCTCGGCTGTCCGGGGTCCGTGTGACCGGACTGGGCCGGGCGCCGGTGTGCTGTGGTGTGGTCGGGCCGACTGAGCGGCCGCCCTGTGAACGGACTGGACACGGCCGGGGGGCTCCCGGCCAGCTCTGCGCCGCTCTGTCTCCGTCCCGAGCGGCCCCAATCACCGCCGTCACCGTCCGTTGTCCCGTCCTATCTCAGCGACTAATACATATTTTTCAAGTCGGCCCGCTGTCTGTGCTGTGAGCGCTCACAGCGTGTGTGTAACCAACGGGTGTCAGCATTGAGCAGTGATTGTTCGGAGCTCAGGGAAACCCACAGCGGAAGGGGGAGCGGCGAGCAGAGTTTACTCAGCGTGCCGCCGCCGCCGTCACCACCGCGGAACCGACGGCCACGTGTCAGTTCCCACCGGCCGCCGCGGGCTCATTTGCATATGACTGGGCGGCTAACTGTTTTGGCCGGCGGCGGCTTTGTGACTGAGCGATGGGCCACCGCGGCGCAACACGGGGCGACACGGCGCCGCCTGTTATCCGCGCCGCTGATGACTGATTCAATTAAACGCCGCCGGTCCCGGCGACACGTCACGTCCACCTGCAGCGGGACCGGCCGGCCGGGACGGCAGACCGCCGCCGCCGCAGACAGGTCGATGGGCCCGCGCTGAGCGTCTCACGCAACACAGGTTCACGGGGACCGCCTTATAGAATAGACCGGCACCGTCTACGGGAGGACTGTAAATTGGTAGTTCGGCTATCAATGACCACTAAAGCAATAAACGGGGCGTGCCAGTGAATGATATCGTCAATTATGTCTGTCGCTCTTTAAACTATAAATACGAGACCGGGCGGAGTTGGCCCGAGTCGCCACAGGGATGCTAGGAATTTATCGAAGATTGGTCGATCATACTATCTTAAGCGGATTCATGGAAACCCGGTAGATGGCTAGGTTGCCTTTTACGCAGTACAGACGTAATCTTTTTTTTAAATCTTGCTATAATTGATTACCTATAATATAAAAACTAGCACGAAACCTATTCGAAGCACATACCTAATAGAAATTTACCAAAGTGAATGCCACAATTTTTTAACATTTTACATTGGAAGTAATGATCACCCTTTACAAAATTACGTCTGCACTCTGCATATGATGGTAGGCACACAATGGCTCACAATGTAGCGTTATTGTTACGATGAAATTTATCCTACTATAGCGCTAGCACGTATGTACATACCTACAATTCCCTACATAGCTCGTATGTATTCTCTCACTGTTCTGGTTCAGGCTGCTCCGTGCCGATTGCCGGACTCCCGCCCCCGCCAGGGCGGACTGCCAGGGCGCCGACATGCCGACCAGGCTCGGGCCACATGTTACAAAGGTGCGAATGCTGAACGGTCCTCTCCACTACCACGAGTCACAAACAGCAAGGCCCATGGAAATGGGAAAATACTAACAAATATACACTCACTGATATGCCTACTCGTCTGATTGCATTTATCAAAAGAATTAATAGTTTTGGTAGCGGGGTCTAGGAATTCTTGTCTACTCTAGCTATTTAGGGCGCATCAGTAGGTTAACCCTCGCCCTGGCGAGGGTAATTAAGGTCGATGCGACCCCCCCCCCCCTAAGGTTTTTCGAAGATAGCGTAAGCGCCGCCAAATTTGGCACAGCCTTATGGGGCAACCTTTTTACATATGACCTGAAAATTTCAGGTTCGGGTGACCTTGGGTCAGTTCACCAGGTCAGAAAAACCGGTACAAGGTCATGGTCTAATTTCAATTTTCTTTTTGCACCTGTCCAACTCACAGTTTTGGACTGATTTCCTTCAAACTTTCAGGGTGTGCTAAGTTCACCGAGTTGTAATGTATAACATATAGTTCGTTTTTTTTAGGTCGCTGACCTGAGGTCAGTTAGAGGTCATTGCGTCGTAATGTTAAGCCTATGGGAAAATACTAAATTCGGAAAATACTGGAGATATCCGCTCCGTTCTATCACTTTTGTGCTTTGAAACCACAGTACTTAACAGCAGGTCACTTGGTGCTTCTTTGTTTGGTGTACTTATCCATGGGTCAGGTCCAATGAGGTCAACTGAGGTCAAATGACTTTTTTGCCAATAACTTGGCACATAATGACGCTAAAGCTTACAAATGGTATCATTGTGTTCCTGGTGATCAGCCGAATCGAATGATATGCGATATGATGCAATTTGGTTAACTTGAACTTAATTAATTAATTAAAGTTTACTTAAAATTTAAGAAAAACTTTAAGTACACTTAAGCAAGCTAAAAAGTATATCATTCGACGCGCCTTGGCGTGATGAGTTCACTGGTGTTTTTTTTTTGCCCTATCTTTAATTAAATCAAAAGTTATAAGCGAAAATCTTTTGACCTGTTTTTAGCTAAATTTTTACATTTATACCCCTCAAAACCCCCCTAAATATTGACCTAGAGCAACCAAATTTGCACAGGGGCGAAAACTCCAGGGGGCCCACCTACCTACCAAATTTGGTGTTTCTAGGTGCCATAGGAGCCAATCGCGAGGGGAGGGGTCGCATCGACCCCCCCCCCCCCCCTGCCAGGCCGTGTTATGAAAAATGCCCCGCCCATGGTATCCTCCCGGGTGCGGTTCCTGCCCTACAGCGAGTACTCGCGCACCGTCTGCTTGCGCGTCGAGCTGCTCGGCTGCCGCAGAAAAGGTGAGAGCTGCTGGAGAAATGAGCTGCTCGGCTGCCGCAGAAAAGGCGAGAGATGCCGGTCTTTTGATGGCTCTCCATTTCTCTCACTCTCTCTCTCTCTCTCTCTCTCTCTCTCTCTCTCTCTCTCTCTCTCTCTCTCTCTCTCTCTCTCTCTCTCTCTCTCTCTCTCTCTCTCTCTCTCTCTCTCTCTCCGTCCCCGTCCCCGTCCCCGTCCCCGTCCCCGTCCCCGTCCCCGTCCCTGTCCCCGTCCCCGTCCCCGTCCCCGTCCCCCCCCCTCTCTCTCTCTCTCTCTCTCTCTCTCTCTCTCTCTCTCTCTCTCTCTCTCTCTCTCTCTCTCTCTCCCCGACGCCAAAACCGGCTCACAGCGGCGTTCATGTCGGCCGGGGCGAAATGATTTGATGAATTATTTCATAAAGGCATTAACAGTGACAAAAGACAAAAGTTCAACAAATTCTACGCATGAATCATCCAGTAGGTACTGGCTTCGAGAACAGTTAAAATGAACATAGGTGGAGAATTGTGACCAGCTGGGGGTGCTCGGGCGCAGCAAATCCGCCGCCGCCTAGCGGTGACCTTGACCCGCGCCGCCCGGCCGCGGCTCCAAAGCCAAGCCGGCGTGGCCGGCGTGGAATTGGGAGAGCTCGAGCACCCCCAGTCCAGCACAATTCTCCAGATGCACAAGAAATCGTAATTTCCCAATGACATGACATGGCTGTCGCAATGCTTAGCCGCAATCACCTCTTTTTGTAGTTTAAATGGTAAGTAGTTTTTGAAATTATCCGATAAAAATCTAAAATTGATACCATATGAAAGACCAATCAATTCTACACATGAATCAGGGTGTATCTTTGAGAAAAACTTGAAAGTTTAGGTGTGATAAGAAAAACAAATAAAAATGAACCATTTCCCCATACACTTTACATTGGCTCCAAAATCGCATGGATCCAGAATTTCTGGAAGTGCCCTCGCCACAACTGCACGTGCGCTGCGCTCGAAAATGATCACGTGACCAAATCCAGATGAGATCACCGTATTTATAGTCACCGTGGCCAGGGCGAGGGTTAATCAGGGGGATGTCGTCCCGGTTCTCCCCATGTATTATTCGCCAATCAGCTTAACACTACCAGTGACGTCACTGGTGGACTGCCAATCGGAGCCGGCCACTGAACTCTATGGGCCGGCCGGCCGGCCGGGCCCGTGGAAGGCCAAACGCAGACGTTTTCAGAAAAGCGTAAGCCGTATAGATACAGTCGTGGATGGAGTTTTGCTGTAATTCGGCTATCCAAGAGTGCGTCAGGGTACCAGGACCCGGATAAAGGTCATAGTGAACCGGCATCTGATAAAACCCGCTCACGGCTTAGCAGCCGACTTCGACCCTTCTCCCTCGTAAAGCACAAAGGCTTGCCGGTCATCAATCCACCTGCATCTCCTCATCTGCTTACTGCCTATATCGACCAGTTACTGCAGCCGTTTTGGAGCGGCTCACACCATTGAGTGCGCGTGGCCGACTGCCGCCCCGATGCATGGCGCTGGCCCGGCCGGCACCGACACCGGCGCGGCGAAGCTGACCCATGAGGGGGGGGGGGGGGGCTGCTAATTAGTTGAGCCGGAATTGGGATAGAAGCCGGTATGGGATTGGGATAGCAGCTCAGCGAGACTAAGGGATTGTGTTGTGCCTTCGGTAGGCCCCCAAAATCACCGGTGTAGTGCCCTCAGGGCCGCCGGTTATGAAGCCTTTGGAGGCACTGGTGTGGGCACTCACAGGTTGAGGTACCGGTGTGAGGCCCTCAGAGGCATTGGTGCGGGGCCCCCGAGGTGCCGCTGTAGGCCCTCTGAGGTGCTAGTGTGTGGCCCTCAGAGGCGCCGGTGAGGGTCCTCACAGTTGCCATTGTGGGCCCTCAGAGACACTGCAGTGTGGGGTTATTACAATCGGGTGTGGGACCCTTAGAGCTGCTTGCTCGAATCATTTATAAGTCGACAGGGGCTCTCAGAGACCGACAAGGGGCCCTCAAGAGGTCTGCGGTGTCTTCAGTAGCCCTGTGGAGTCCTCAGAGACCAGCAAGATACTCTCAGACGCCGGTGGGGCCCTCAGAGTCGTCGGTGTGGGGCCCTCAAAAGTCACCGGTGAGTGGTCACTGGCCGTCCGATGCGAAGGTCCCGTCTGGGGCCGTCAGAGGCTCCGGCGTTGAGCCCTCAGAGCCGCCGATATATGGCCTTAAGAAGCACTGGTTTGGGCCTTTAGGACTTCATTCAGGGGTGCCGGTTGAACTCAGAGGTGGCAGTGTGGGGCCCTCAGCTGGGCACCGGTTTGGGGCTTTCACAGCCGCCGGTGAGGGCCCTCGCAGGCGCCGTTGTGGGGGCCTTCAACCATTGGTTTAGGGGTCATCACAGGCGTGTGTGGAACCCTTAGAGCTGCTGGTCCTGATAGGCCGGTAAGGGCCCTCAGAGGTCGCCAATGGGCCCTGAGAGGCCGGCAAGGGGCCCTCAAATGCCGACAAGGGACAATAAAAAGCCGGTGTGTGATCTTATGGAGAGAA